TATTATTATTATTATTATTATTATTATTATTATTATTATTATTATTATTATTATTATTATTATTATTATTATTTAATTATATATAATATATAATTTATAATATTATTAACGCGTAATGATTTCCTGAAACGCCATGAACTAATATCATATTAATTGGATTTTCGGTTAATTGATTAAAAAAGCGATTCGAGCCGAACTTTGTATGCGAAACATTTTTTTGATATTTTAGAATAGGAAAATGGGAGCTGTTATGGCGATGATATTCTGGAAGTGGAGTTATATTGTTGATATTTCATTAGAAATGAAACATATACTGTATAATAAAATGATCAAATATAGAAAATAATAATGGGCACTAATATTAATAATATAAGATTGAGGAATTGTGTAGAAGTTTCTGAACTATTAATCACATGTGGTCATGTGAAGTTCCACGGATTTTCCATGCTGGAAATTTTATTCGTCACCAAAAATGAATCTATTAATAAGGACAAATGATTACCCAAAAAATTGCGCCACCTTTGTTCTTCTCTTTTAACTTTGCCTCTAAATGGATTCCCACGAAACTTCGAAAAAGGCTTTAGCTGAAAGTAACAGTCCTACTACTTCAGGCTCGAGTCCAACACCTGCTCAACCTTCTTCTCCAACTCCTTCTAATGCATCTACGGGCAGTACCAAAAAAGATAAAGATGCTTCTACCTCTAGTACTCCAGCGAGTAGTAACGGATCAACAAGTGGAAAATCATCAAAAAATGTACCTAGTTCTACTCCTGCAATAAACATTTTTTCAAATGATGGAAGTTTTCTGGATCGTTTTAAAAAAATGAAAGCTGAGGAAGATGAAAAAAAGAAACAGCTTGGGGCTTTGGAAAGGTGAGAACTTGAGATTTTGTCGAAAATAATTACGCCTCACAAATTTTGAAATGCAAATTAGAAGAGTCTAGGAGACAAAACCGACGATTTGTTTTTTGAGTGACTGATATTACCTTTGTTACCGAATGGTGTAGGCGTTGAAAATTTTCTTTGATAAAAGATTGTGGATTTCTCGTGAATTATCAACTCAACAACATATAAATCGTCACATGAAATCTTTTTTATTTTTTAATTATTATTAATTTTTTGATTGAATTGATCAACCTTGCGGGACATTAATAGATAAAAAGTTTTTTTTTCTAATTTATTGTTTCATTTTTGAAAAAAACGAAAAGTTCTTTACTTACATCACATTTTACAATCAAATACAACCTATATTTTAAAATCGGATAATATATATATCCATATATATCTAATTTAAAAACTCAACCATATTGGTTAATTATTGGTTCATTCTTTTTTGGAATGTTTTTATTGAAATATATTGAAATTTTAGAAAAAAGGCTTTTGAAGATCGTATTGTGAGTATTTTTATTTATTTTTTTTAATTATTCTAATTAAAAGAATTAAAAGATATTTCTAATTATTATTTTTTTTAAATAATAATAATAATAATAATAATTCATTTAATTCATTAGAAAAACCGAGGAAAACGCAAGAATCAACCTACGGACGAAGAACCGGATCCAAAGCGCGTCACGTTAGAAGATAATGAACGTGGTGAAACATTAGATCCAAAAGCAAACGCATATCTAAAGGAAATGCAAAAGTATAGTGAACGTTTATGTAAAGATGATTCTGGTCATGTACGTCCGTTAGTTAAATAATTAAATTATATATATGCATAAATTAGATGTAAAATTGAAAATAATGACTTAAAGGAATTAATAGTAACGAGACTTTTTATTTGTGCTAATATAAATTTTTACGGTTGTTTTTGGTGGGATTTAACGATTCTTTTTAAGCAAAAAGGTTTTTTTATATATAGTTCATATATTTGTTACCATCATGTTAATAGTTAAAAAAACCATTAACACCCATCAAATCAATCAATTTATTACGTATATATTATTATCTTTAATTCATAATTACATTTGTACAATCTATTAATGATGACTAATCCACGAAATTATTGTAAATTAAATCTATTATAAATTTAAATTACTTCTCTTCAGGTTGAGCTACGAGATAGTAAGGTAAAGCGGCTTGCATTTTTCCTGCATTTTCACATGCAATCAACCATTCAGGCTTAACAATGGGTATACTATTATCTAAGGCTTTTTGATAATTTGCTCCTCCCTTTTCATTACATAACAAGTGTGTGGTATCGTTACCAACATGATCACTATATCTAGCACCAATTCTCTTTAAAACCTCCTTCAATTCTTGTTTATTTGGTGTTGCATCATCCGAAAAATAACCGAAACAAACATTAATACCTGTAAGGTTTTCTAAATCATGTGTTCTAATTTTGATCTTGTTTGAGGTAAAAGAACCAGCAGTAGTTTTAATGGTAATATGAAATTCATATTCTGTATCCAATTGTAAACCGCTTAATTTAACAGAATTGTTGAGACCGAGAGAAGTTTGTTGATTAACTCGGGTACCATTACGGAAAATTTCTAAAGATTTGAACGTTGCTGTATGAAGTACTAAATGTTCCCATTCGAGAATAACTGATGTTTGAGTGATGTGTTTAACGTGAAGTTTAGGAGGTTCAGGAATTTTACGACCAAATTCTTCTAAAATTGCTTCTTGAAGTTCCCAAAATTCACTACGCTGACTAGCTTCTTGATCATGATTCCGATTTACACTAATGTTTACTATACTACCGGAGGTTACGCCAGGTGGAAGTAAAAGCGAAGGAAATTCAATTAGGTGATGGTCCTCGGTTAATAAAATTGCCTTGAAAAATTATTATTTTTTTTTTAATATTATCGTTCGAATTATAAAATCAAAGTTTTTAAAA